TCATATGGCTTGCTGTGCAAGTCTCTGATCATATGGGTGGTGCTTCACTGGACTCTCTCGAGCTTTACAGGTGCTAACCAAGAGAAGGCAGTAACCAAAAAAAAAAATGGAACCAGGGAGATATATTTGTTCCAATAAACCCATCTCATAGTATTGATGCTTTCAAAAATAACTAACCCTAATAATTCCCATGTAAATAACTTCAGGTCAGATGCTGAAGGTCAGTTTTTATTCAGTCCTTTCTCAGGCAATGCTCCCAGTGAAGGCACTGGAGGAGCTTGAATAAAAGCTGATCAAGACCTCAGGATTTTGGCTCCTTCTCAGGTAAGGACCCCTCAACTCTGCTCCTATGTAGCTGAATGTGATTCGTTAAGGAAATGACCACCGCACCACTGGGCCCTGAATGCCCAACATGCTCACATGCAGGGAGTGGTGGTGGTGGGGCGCGGGCGTTAATTGGCTTCCCCGGGAGTTTTGCTTGAGTCAGGATGAATAAAAATAGGCTGTGGTCCCTGAGGACTCATCCTAGCAGTCAGTACAGCAAGAAGCAGGGGGGATGCTTCCATAGGCAACTTCCCTTTGATGTGAAGGGAAATCCTAAAGCTTTTGTTTTGCTTAAAACTCTCCCATCTTGGACCCTGTATGGGGCATTATAATCTCGAGTAGCTTGGGGGCCCAGATGCTCCATGCCTGTTTCCAGTCACCGGGGTTAGCGCATCCTCCTCTTGTGACACAGAGACCTTCATTGGACCTGCTTTCAAATCACCCTTAATGCAGTGCTGGGCAGGTCAATGGGAGGGGAGGGGATCATCTCTGGGAAGAAAATGCACTTTGGGGCTTTCCCTTGAACTTTTGAATGGGCTCCAAGAGGCGAGAGGACGTACATGTTTGTTTAAAAGGTCCTTCGGAGTCCGTGGAAATTAAAAAGGGGAGTTCAAACGCTTACTCTGTCAGCATAATATGAAGCAAAACAGCTCCGAGCTGAGGAGAATGCCGATGCTGAACCAGCCAGCCCCGCTCGCTGGGGTTCGTGGTCTTCAACAATTGCAGCCCCTGGAGTGCGGGGGCCCCTTGCGGTACCTGGAGTTCAGTTGATTGAATCCCAGCTTTTATTAGCACTGACAGTGTAATCTGTTGCAGATGGTCACACAAGGTGGTCGCCAAATGGCTCCTCCTGTTAATCACAGGTCCCCCCCTTGCCACCCCCTCGCTTCAGCCACTGCAGCCTGCTCTACCTGGATAAAACACGTGGGCTCAAGGGAGCAGCTTTACAGTGTGTTTATTTCCTGAAATCATAAAGCACAAGAATCACATACTTCAGCAGGAACCTCTGCCTTAGTCATCAAGTGTGTGTTTTACAGGCTCAGGCAGTGAGACAGCGATGAACACTTCATGCATGATGTGCTTTGGGGCTACTAAGAGTTTTGGACTGAGCTTCGCTTGTGAAGGCATCTTCTGGCCCTGGCATTCATTCAGACATGCTTTTTGCTAGCTAGTGCTTTTCACTAGCAGATCTCCAAGTGCTTTACAGAGCAGTGTATCCTCATCCCTGCTGTGCATGTAAGGAAACTGAGGCATGAGGAAGTGTTCAAGTGCATCTCACAGGACCTGGGAAGAGAACCTAGGGAGTGAGTCTCCTGGGCTAAGTACAGATAGTCAAAAAGCACAAGGCTGAATCAATTCAGTCTTTGCAGATTTATCTAAACTGCAGAGATTAAACTGCGAAACAACTGGACACACGTTTATCTTTGATGCAGGAAGTACAGCCACATGCCTGCAGTGGCTCAGGCTAGAAGCCGGGAGGGCACTAGAGCACAGCTCTCTGGCATGTAGCCAGCATGGGCTGTGTGTTTGTTTCCTCTTTCTGCTGCCTCTGAGGTGTCTGGGATTTGCAGTCCAGAATCACAGCCTCAGGGCTCTGCAGAGTTGCTCCTCACAGCCTCTTCCTGCTTCCAGGTGCCTCTGGGATTTGTTGTCCACAGTTGCAACCAGTAGTAAGTTTTTAGCAGGGCAGGGCAACTCTGTACTTGGAGGAAGGGAAGTTTAACCCCCTGCCCTGGCCCCAGACCCCAGCTGGGGTTTGTCTGGGGCTTGTTTGGAGGTTAGAAATGGCACCTGAAGGGTGGGGCACCTTAAGGAGGCCTACTGAGCTATGTTCAGCATATTAGCCCAGGAAATGAAGGGAGGTGACTCTGAACAACTTCTCACAGCTCAGGGTAGGGCATGGTCCGGTTCAGATCCATGTGTAAAACTAAAGCAGCCCAAGGGCTGCCTAAATAACCTCTAAATAACAGTAACAGTCTCATGGGGACACTTCCATTCCCCGGCAGCACTGGAATGCAAGGTGCTTTGGTCACACTCTGGCCTGCCCCCACCCCAGCCCCCACCCAGCAGTGGGAACAGGTGACGTAGGTCCAACATAAGGGGCAATGACCTGGCTTACTTGGATGCCAAACAGTCTGTACCTCTCCTTTCTACTTGTTTAATGTGTGCTTGTTTAACATGAATGGGATTGATCTGTTGGAGCCTAGGCAGTCCCCTGTCCATTTTAAACCTTCACTGTAAGAGCCTTGTAGCTCCTGCTACCCTCCAGATAGACGAGAATGCAGCTTACCATGGCATTTTTGGGACATCAGGAGGTGGTGGGTTTTCATACAAGGAACAAAGCCTTCTTGCCACTCTTACTATATTTTTAATCCCACTGAATAGGGCACGCATAATTTCGCCCTTATGGACAGAAATGCAGGGAAGAACCATGAATCCCAGTGGAATCCAGCAGGATTGCTAGGGACTGCTCTGGTGAATCTCACTATGACTCAGACCATGTGCTAGATGCACCCCCCAGGGAAAACTTTGCTGGACAGCCTAAAACCAAGTGGTTGGGGCAGCCTGGCAGCCTTGTCTGGTGGATCAATATGAGCAGTTGCAAGAATGGCCCCCAAGATTTAGTTAAGCGTCATAAGCCAGAAGCAATCTATATAACTGAGTAATCTTGTGCCAAAGGACAGAACAATTAGAAATCTTTAGTACCTTCCAAATGTGGCTTTTTAAGTGCATACAACACATACCTGTAAGTAAGTGTGTCTATAGATATTTACTCTCTCTATACATCAGCTCCTGGTACTGTACACCCACTCCTGGCCTGAAGGTGGTCCATACCTGAAATCCTTCCTTTTAACAGCTTAGTTACTTCTGAAAACCCAGAATTTTATGGATGAAAAGCTGAAAGTAATTAGTGGAATGTACCTTCCCCCCTCCCTCTTCCTCACCATTTCCTGTTGGGAAAAGGAGAAACAAAAAACCCCAAACCTTCCTGCCTTGCTCAGTCATAAAGACTGTAATGAGCTAAGCTCAGATGGGAAAGTTGGTTTGTACCAGGCAAGCGCTTAATTAAAGAATGAGTATGCAGCAGATCTGTTCCATTTTACAACCACACATCTTCCTGTTTTATAAAAATGCCTTTTGAAACCCAAAGGAAACGGTGCAGTAGACAGGAGAATGGGACCTGCTGGCCTGATGTTATCAACTTCCACCTTTAAAAAGGTGACACAGAGACATGGATTGCTGGGAGTGGAATGGCTGGCTTTTGTTCCTGACATATAAAAACAATACCTACCTTTCTCTGCCCAAAGATCAGGAAAATGAAAACCAGGGGAAGAGGGAGGAAATGAGACAAAAATGAAAGCTTAGCCTGTAGGGAAGTCATGGTAAATTTAGATGTGCTGTCTTAAGAAGCCAACACTGCACTTAAATATCCAACATCTTCACCCCTTTAGGAAGGCATGCGTGTGAAGTGCAGGACTGGGTCCCTAAAATGGCTCCGTGAATGGATTTAACATAGCATGATTACCTCTGGAGTGGCTTCTATCAGAGCCCCTCATTAACTCTACTCTTCTTTGCAGAGTATTTCTAGACCCTATATGCTCAGCAAGAGAAAGGAGTTGTTTAACAGTAGGACTTGGCCATTCTGGAGCAACCAAGGACTTCAAGTGCTTTGCAAATACTCCGCAAGTCAAGTTTCACCTCCGGGACTGGGAGTATTATTATTCATTTTGCAGATCACGTAGCCGTCACATAAAGCACCCTGTCTGCACCAGGGGCACTAGAGGTAACTCCCGCTGGTGTAACTCCAACAGAATTAGCAATCATGGAACAAGCAGTGTAGACAGGACTTAAGCATTTTTCACCACTATGGCATCTAGGGAAACTGCATTAATGGGTTTGTCCACAGAATTATTCTTGAGTAGTTATTGTGCCTTAAGAGTCTCATCCTACTTTATGCAAAGAAACTTTCAAGCTTCAAGCCCATGGTTTCAATGGTAAAAGCAGCCATAGCTCTCAGCTCACCTGCACCACACTTCTATATTTGACTCGTGACCAGCCACTACTTTCTGGTAGTACAAGTAGTGGTATCAAAGAAACCGAGTTTTGGCATCAACCTGCTGCCTGAATAACATCCCAAAGGAAGCAGGGGGGTAGCAGGCTGCATCTAGAAAAGAGCATGAGAAAAGTATTCTGCAAGGAACAATGTTGCCTCAGTTGGGGGAAGGAATGGAATTTAAGCAGCTAACAGGTGTTTTCCATTCCTCTGCTCTGTCACTCAGCTGGAAGAGTCTGGAGGGACTTAGCCGATTTCCATGACTCAGTCATCCTGAACTTCCCCCCCAAAATATGCATAACTTTACCCCAACAAAGGCTCCTTGCATCTGCACCACAACTTTGTTTCACTTCTACTAACGCAGCAAACAGAATCTGGAGCATCTCAAGGGTTCTCCTTCCAGCACCCCTTTTCAAACCTATTAAACCTACCAGTCCCAAATTTAGCTCCACAGGCCAGACAGTCTTTTGGTCATTTAAAAGGCTGTCACTTTAAGCAGCTACTCGCACACAATGCCAGAATGAGGCAACAGAGGGATCAAGTCACAATCTGGTCCTGTTTTCATGTTGCCAAGATCCAGCTGTGCATGCATTTAACATAAAAAAAAAGAAGCCACGAGAGCATATTATAAATTAACCGTTTTATTGAATATCAATAAACTGTATATAATTATATAAAAAGTTTCATCAGTACAAAATGTGGCACAAAAATATAAATACCAGTGTACCTTTGAAATGTAAACATACTCTTTGTTATGAATCTGTGAAAACAATGTACAAAGAAAGATGCATTCAGTAGGCACCTGTCAATAACCATAAATAGTTCTTTTGGCACACACCTGTCAATGGCCAGGCCTTTGCATAGGGCACCATTGTATCATCTGACAAGTGCCTGCTATTAGTCACAGTTCTCTTGAAAAGCAGTTGTTAAGAGTCATATTAACAGGTGCTTGAGTGCATAGCTGCTCTGTAAACAGGATTCTTGTTTGAAATGGCTACCAATGCCTTTTACGGACATTGTTAATCTGGAAGGCATTGCAAATTGTCATTGTGCTGGGGAAGAAGCAGCTGCTTCAGAACTAATGTGATACTGTATTATTGCATAGTAACACCTTCTACAGGCGGCGTATGTACAATCCGGGGAGCAGGGGGTGGCAGTAACACTTTGCTTTTGTCCTTCATTTAAAATAAAATGAAAAAAAAAAAACCATGCGCAGGAAAAAAAGAAAGTCTTAGTTCATAATCAGTTACCAAGTGGTTATGGTAAAAAACAAAAACCACACAACTGCCAAATACATTTCAGACCAGCTGTGTGGTCATAATTCAAGGCCAGATCCTACATGGTGCTGAGTGCCTTCAGCAACTGACAGGCACCTGTTAAGGCTCTGGCAAGGCTCACATTGAATCCAGGGGCCCAATCCTGCACCCATAGACCTTAGCTAGTTCGGGTGATCCACTGGCTCTCCTTGAAAGAGAGAGACAGTCAAGCATAGCAGAGTCCGATCCTGCACCCACAGGGCACTTACAGTTTTGTCACCGACTCCCGTGGAAGAAGGATCAGGTCTTTGGACTGTGCAAGAGGAACAAAAAACGGAGTGGGAGGGCAGGGAAGGAGTCTTTTAAGGCCTGAAGCAGCTGGATATACAGCGCTTGATACACACTGTCATGGCAACATGAAGGAAACTATCTCCTACAGAAACTAAATTACAAAATATATGTATTTGCATGTAAAGAGTCCTCGGGGGGAAAGGAGGGGGTTTAGTGTCTTTCAGCGAGTTCCAGAGCAGCCCGTTTCCTCGTGCTTGTGAAGAAGTGACATTCTGGAGAAAGTCCGGGAGCAGGTTTTGCACTGATACTTCTTTACATCTGAATGGGTTTGCAGGTGGGCACGGAGATTAGAGCGGTCAGCAAAGGCCCTATTGCAGTGCGTACAGGAAAAAGGCTTTTCACCTAGAAGAAAAAAGAGAATGCTTCACCATTAGCTCCCGGGGGTGGGGAAGGGGGCAGGAAATATCAAAGCATGGCCCATTTGTTAGTTCAAAACTCAGTTTAAAAAAAAAAAAAGGAGAGAGAAAGAGAGAGAGGGGTTGGGCATGAAAAAGAAAGGGCTGGGTGTTATACAGAGATCACCACACAGATCTTTTCCCATTGATTTTTTTTTTTTTTTGAATGCATGCGATTCACCTACAGAAAATGCTCTGCTTAGGAATTTGGCATAAAAAGAAGGGAAAAAAACTCCAGTTACTATACGAAACTGCAAGAGTTTCCCACTGGGGAAAGGTTAAAAAAAATAAGTCAAGACAGTTTCACTAAGAAATTAGAAAGCAGAAGCATGTCAAGGTCTGGCTGCCAGCAACTGAAATGCCTTGCAGAGCTGCCACCCAGTGAAGCATCAAGCTTCACGGTTATGAAGTGAACCGCGGCCAGGCTTCCTTGAAGGCAGCCAGCCCTAAACCTGGGAGTGGAGCGATTTCCTTTTCAGAGGCTCCCCTTCCCCCAGGCCCTGCTTAAAAACCTGCAGCCAAGCAAATTCTTGCCCGAGAGGCTCTTGCGGAGGAAACAAACGTGTACGCTCAATTTGGAAAGCACAATTAAGTCTTTCCAGCTTCCTTCAGACCTCAGCTTTGGGCCTTGGAGAGGGTGTGAAATCAGTGCCAAGTGACAATGAAACGAGCCCCGTGGCCAGGACAAAGGCGGTGGAGGGGACGCATTGTAAATGGGATACTTCTTGGATTAAAAGCCAAAAGCTCAGAGAGGCTGGCAGCTGCGAGTGCAGGGCTGCCCCAGGCATTACAGTAACAGGTGCACCATGCTAGCAGCCCTGGCACATTAAAGCACCTGCCGGCACTGCCCAGGAGCCTCCAGGGGCGCCTCAATCGCAGCATTAGCCAAACAATGAGTCATCGGGGAGGCTGGCCAGGATGCATCGCAACTGCACCTTTTGTGCTGGCACTCCGCTCATCCCCCCTGGGATCAGGAGGGTTTCAGATGCTCGGGGCGTAGGAGTCACGCAGTGCCCTCAGCCCCAGGCTGCGGCAAGAGCAGAGAAAGCCCCAGGCAGAGCCCAGCCCCTGGATGCGGGGCACAGGGACGATCTTCAGGAGCAAAGTTAGGAGATGCTAGAGGGGGTGGAGAAAGCCACCTGTTCTGGCCCTAGCACCATACCTAGACTCCCGGTGGCCCCAAGGAAACTTAAGAGATAGTAACAACAATAATAATAATAATCACCACTTTTACTATTTTTGGACCTGGTCTATTCATGCCTGGGGCACATCCACTAGCTCTGCTGGGTCCCAGCAGGGCCAAGAGCAGCAGGGGCTCAATCCGCATTGTCTGCCATCCCCCGGACAGTCCTGCCTTGCCCCAGGGCTGGCTCAGGGCACCTCAGCCCCCTACAGCCTCTCGGCCTAGTGCTCAGCCACCCGCCCGCTGCCAGGGGTCTACTTGGGGCCACATCCCCCTGCCCAGCCACACACACAGGGTCCAGGCCCGCTCGCCCGCAGCCCGCCCGGCGGGACCACGTACCCGTGTGCGTGCGGATGTGGCCCTGCAGCAGCCAGGGCCGGGAGAAGGCCTTGCCGCACATCTTGCAGACGCAGGGCAGCGTGTGGCTTCGGATGTGCATCTTGAGCGCACCCAGGCTGACGTACTCCTTCTCGCAGTACTTGCAGCTGAAGGCCTTCCTGGGCTGCGCGTCGCAGTGCAGCTGGCGGTGCTTGGCCAGGCCGGCGAAGGTGGAGTAGGGCTTGCGGCACTGCCCGCACTGGAACTTCTCGGCCTCGGGGGCGGCGGGCGAGGCCGGGCTGGGCGGGTCCGACGTCTTGCTGCCCTCGTCCTCCTCGCTCGACAGCGACGTGAGGTCCAGCGGCTTGGGCTCGGCGCCGCCCGCGCCGCCCGCCGGCTCCTCGGGGAAGAAGGAGGACAGCAGCCCCGCGCCCCACGCCAGCGGCGGGCAGCAGCCGGGCAGCAGCGGGTGCTTCTCGTACAGCAGCCCTGAGGGACACAGCGGCGTCAGCTCGGCCCGCGCCCAGCCAGCCCAGCCCAGCCCCGTCCCGTCCCATCCCGTCGCCCCGCACACCCGCCACGCACCGGCCTGGCTCTCCAGCTCGCTGTAGTTGGGCTTCTTGCTGGCCGAGAAGTGCTTCTTCACCAGGAAGGAGCGCGGCATCTTGCCTCACCCGCTCCAGCGCCCGCA